GCGGTTCTGGAGTAGAGCAGTTATGAGAGACTTCCTAGAGACCCAGAGAAGTCTAAGGGGAGGGGCCTTGGAGAGGTCCTTGTGCCCCCTCCCCCACTGAGCTGCTGAGGCTGCATTGTGCCAGGTGGGGTGTCCTGCCCACAACGAGGGCGGAGGGAGGTGCCATTTTGGTTGAGTCCAGAATGTGGAAAGGGAGCCATGGGAAGATATAGGGGAGAGGCTTCCAGGCAAAGGGAACAAGTGCAAAGGTCCAGACACTAGAATGAGATCCGCGTCTTAAGAGACACAAGAATCCTGTAGCTGGAATGTAGTGAGAACTGGGGACAGTGATAGGAGATGCAGCCAGAGGGACAGGCAACTGGGGATTTGATTTTAGGGAAGCCTCTGGAAAGTTTGAAGCAGGGGAGTGGCATGATCTGATTTATGGTTGAAAGATCCCTCTGGCTACAGCGGGAGGATGGATGCAGGGACCAGGGAGATCGAGAGAGGAGCTCGTGCTGCCAGTTGGTGTGAGAGGCTGCTTTCCAGAGCAGGGCAGGAGTTGTGAGAGGGCTGGCCAGGCTCAGGGGCCCGGCTGAACCAGCCACTGGCCAGTCTGCTGGGTGTGAGAGGAGAATAGGAACCCAGGATGGCTCCCAGGTTTGGGGCCTGAGCAACTAGATGTTCCTGCCATTTCCGGAGGCTGTGAGGAGGTAGATCTGAGAGAGGCCTGACGTGGATGTCAAGTGTAAGGGCAGACGTGCCAGGACAGATGGGACGATATAAAGGAGACAGATGGAGGCTGGGGGAGTTCGAGAGGGGTGGGAGTTGGGGTCAGAAGAGAGCGTTTCCATGGTGTTTACAGCCTGGGGACTGGAACTTGGGGAAAAAAATAGAAAGGAGACGGCGAAGGAGCGGAGGCTTGTGCCTGCTGACATTTAAAGGCCCCAAAGGAAACGGCCAGTGCGGTGGGGAGAAAACTTGGGCTGGGGAAGGTTTCAAAAGGAAGGGTTGGTCATCGGAGTTCCTGGTTGGTGGAGGAGAAAGGTAAGGTGAAGACAGGGAGCCACCCCCCAGCTTTTGGGCTCTGGGGACTAGGAAAGGGCCATTTCCAGGGAATGAAGAACAAAGACCAACCAGGGTGGACTGAGAGAGAAAGTGAGATGAGGTGGGGAGAAGTGACTGCATGTGATTTTGCTGGGCCCCAGACAAAAGGAGTCGGGAAACAGGTGTGCACAAAGAGGCGGAGCCAAACGCAGGCACCTCACAGGCACACACGCACAGTCACAAAAAGGAACAGAGGCTCAAAAAGGCATTCTCCCACACACGAGGTCAGACACACAGACACACACAGGGACTGGCCAAGTGCCTTGTGACACGGGCCTCCCTTCACACACAGGGACCCAGTAACTCTATCTGTTAAGCACAGTCACACACCGGCAGTAGGTCCTCCTGGGCACAGCTGGACCCAAATTTCCTGGAGTCCCCTCACCCCGTGACAGAGAGCAGTGGGGGTGAGGACTGGACATGGGGAAAGGGTCTTGGGACCAATGGCAGCTTTTTTTTTTTTAAAGGAATTTTTTTAAATTAATTATTTATTCATTTATTTTTGGCTGCGTTGGGTCTTCGTTGCTGTGCACGGGCTTTCTCTAGTTGCGGTGAGCAGGGGCTACTCTTCGTTGCGGTGCGCGGGCTTCTCATTGCGGTGGCTTCTCTTGTTGCAGAGCATGGGCTCTAGGCGCGTGGGCTTCAGTAGTTGTGGCGCGTGGGCTTCAGTAGTTGTGGCGCACGGGCTTAGTTGCTCCGCAGCATGTAGGATCTTCCCGGACCAGGGATCTAACCCGTGTCCCCTGCATTGCAGATGGATTCTTAACCACCGTGCCACCAGGGTAGCCCCCAGTGGCAGCTTTTAGCAGTGTTCCCGCACTGGAAGGGGCATCCACACCGGCTGCACCGTGGCTGGGACTGAGGTCTGTGGTCTAAGTTAAGGTTGGCCGTGCCCCCGGAGGTTCTGGAAGGCTCTGTTTTCCAGCTCTTCCCCCACCCCACAATCAGGAAGGAAAGGAGGGGGCAGCCTAGGCATGGAAGCGGCGTGTTCCCTGCAAGGGCTGGACTGGCCTCTCCCACGATGGGTATCAGGGCTCCCTGGGGAGGGCTGTGCCGGGCAGCGAGCCCGAATTGGGGTGGGGAGGGCAGCAGAGATGCAGGAGGGAGCCCTGGCCACCTTCCCCCACCTTCTGAAGTGACCTGGGTCTTGCAGAGCCAGACTGCCGACCCCCCCCGAACCAGCCTTGGCGCTGCTTCCTCCTAAAGTTTGCTGGGGTGGCCTGGCCTTCTGGAGCTCAGGGATCAGGGACTCTCAGAAGGGAAATCACAGTGGATTCCATACCCCACATCTTGGTGCAGCCCAGGCCTCCATCCCCCACTCTCTCTGGCCACCGGTACCCTGGAGGTGAGGCCTGGCAGTCCAGCCAGGGGAAGGGGTTGGCTCTCAGAGAGCTGGGTTAATATTTGTTGACGGACTAACTGATTGACTAAGTGTGAATGCCCCAGCCCGATAAGTGCTGGGGCGTGTCCTGCTGCGCGGGAACAGGGATTCAGTTACAGTGTTGGGGAGGGCAATGGGCAGAGCCTGGCCCCGAGCCAGGCCCAGCACTGCCCACAGGCAGGGTGAAGGAACGAGCAGTTTCCAGCAGGTAGGCCGGGCAGGGAGGAGACTCGGGGGGCCAGGGTGGGGAGGGCCGCCCCAAATGGGGTGTACCACGTGGGGTCACTGGGCTAGGGGCTGCAGAGGGGCCGGCAGAACTGGGAAGGCAGCGAGCAGCCCAGCAGGTGAGGACACTGGTGGAGGCAGGGAGGCTGCGACCAGAGCGACCCTCAGGGGCAGGGAAGTGTCAGATTTTCTATGAGTTGGGGGCCGTGTCTGTCTCCCAGAGTCCATACACCTGGGGCGGGGGGCCCTGTCCCTCCCTCCCACTCCAGCAGGCAGCGCCCCCTGCCCCCTTCCTGGAAGTCGGGCAAACTGACCTCAGGGTCCGCCCCTTCGCAGGATCCTCAGGAGGCGGAAGTTACACACCTAGGGGAGAAAAAGGGACACCAGAGGAGGGAGGAGGCTCTGGGTGGAGGGAGGCGTGGGGAGTGTGGAAGGAGGGGGCTCCGAGGGAGAGAAAGGGGCCCCTGGGTGGGGGGAGAACCCGGGGAAGGGAGACGGAGGCCGGGGGGCAGAGAGTGCACTGCGGAAGGAAAGGGGTGTGAGAGGGCAGCTCCAGGGGAAAGAAGGGGGCATCTGGAGGAGGCAGGGAGCACAGAAAGGGTGGAGGGGCGGTCAGGAGAGAAGGGGGCGCTGGGGAGAGGGAGGATGCATGGGGGGAGGAAAAGGGCACCCAGAAGAGGAGGGGGCACTGGGGCAGGAGGGCACGTCAGAGGAGGAACTGGACATCTGGGAGAGGAAGGGGGCCACGGCTGGAGGGAGTGAGCCCCCGGGGAAGAGAAGGGAGCTTCCAGTAGAGGACAGGATACCTGGTGGAGGGTCCCCACTGGGGTGAGGGATGGAAGGGGAAGAGGGCACACCCTTGGGTGGGAAAGCCTGGTGGGTCGGAAGGGGCACTCTGGGGAGGGCAGGGGCCTCCTGAGGGAGAAGGGACTGCCTGGAGGAAAGAAGAGAGTGCTGGGGAGACAGGGCCCCCACCCTTTGAGCATCCCTTCTCCGTGCCCCCAGAATCCAGTTGGAAGACAAGTTACATGGGATGAGGCCTCAGGCCCTGGGAGCCTGAGAGTTTGGCTCCGCAGGCTGGCACTGGATATGTGGGCACTCTCCAAGCTCCCTGGGGATGATGCTGTCCCCACCCCGTGCAACCAGCCCAGTCCCAACTGCCTGACCGCAGTCTGACTTCCCTGCCCCACAGGGAGCCCTGGTGACCCCTGTGCTGAACCAACCAATCTTCCTGTCACTCTGTCACTATTTCACAGTTACAGCTCCTAGTCTGTACCTCTGGTCACTGCCTGCCTGTGCCCTGGTGGTTGTCACGAATCACTGCTTCTGCCCATCACCGCCGAATGTCACTACCCCTGTCACTTGATGTCATCACGTGTTTCCTGTTGCTTGAGACCACCGTTACATGGTCACCTTGTCTGCCTGTCACTCATGTCACTGTCACAGCAACAGGCCATCACTGCGACAGCAGTTCTGGGTGCAGTTAGAGCACGTGGTGACTCCCTTCTCTGTCCGCTTTCACTCCTGCAGTCATGGGCTGAGAACCTGCCAGGTGTCAGGCAGCAGGAGCCGGCAGTAAACCAGGAGGACAAGCCCCTGGCCCCGGAATCCAATGCTCTAGTGAGGGAGGCCAGGCCATCAGCACACAGGGTCTCCAGTACGGGTTCGGGGGGCGGCTCTAGCCCCGGCAGGAACCCCCTCTGCCCGCCCTGTTCTGGGCAGCTCCCTCTTCCACCCCACCTCACCCCACATCCATGGCCATCTTGGCCCTCTTTGAGAGGGCCGGGTGTTTCCCACTGTGAGCTCACCAGGGCCTGGGCCCGGCCTGGACAAAGACGTAAGGAAGCTGGGCCACTCGGTGCCACCTGTCACGCTATGCCTCTGATTCTGTAACTCTGTATCTCCCCTCCCACTTCATTTCCTCTGATCATGCAGGGTCAAGGTTGTTCCTCCTGCTGATATAGCACGGCTAGAGTGGAGTGGAGAGGGGAGGGGAGAGGAGTGAACACCACCCCAGGGCCACTAGGAGTGAGAAATTCAGAAAGAAGGGACTTCTGGGTCTATTGGGCAAAGCAGCAGCAAGAAGGAAAAGTTGCAGCTGGCAGGATTTAGGTTACACGTCGAAAGAATTTCCACGGATGAAGGAATGACCAAACCTCATGCAGAGGTTTCTGAAGGAGGGATGCAGGGAAGCCCCGGGGTCGTTGAGAGTCCCCTGCCGACATGAAACAAAATCCAGAGCCCCCTTCCCCAGATCCCTCTCATTCCACGCTTCTCTCTCCTGTGCACAGTCAGAACCACAGAGCATGGCAAAGTTGCTGTTTGCAGAGCCAGTGGCTGTTTGCAGTCTGTGTGTATTAAGTGTTCAGCTCTGTTTCAAGAATTTGAGGATGTTTTGGTCTGATCTACGCAAACTGCTCATGTTAGCTAAGCCTGTCACATGCTGCAGAGTCTGTCATCTTCAGAGACAGTCCGTGTGTGCAGAGTCTGTCCTGGGTTTGCAGAACATTTGTCTTATCTGCAGAGCTTCTTTCTGTCCTGAGCCTGTTTTGAGAGTGTCTTTTTTCAGAACCTGGGTCTTTTTAAACAGTCTGTCCCTCTTTCTTCATGGATAAGATATGCTTTTATTGCAGAAGCGGCCCTGAACGCAAGCCTATCCCTGTCTCCGGAGCTTGTCCCGCGGCCTTGGCTGGGACATCTCTTTCTGCCTAAAGACACCGTCCCTGTCTATAAAGCATTGTCTGTTTACAGTTCCTGGCCCTGTCAGCAGAACCTGTTTCCTCTGCAGGGAGTATCTCTGCCTCTAGACGCTGTCCCTATTCATAGAGTCTTTTCCTATTTCAGAGCCTATTCTGTCTGCAGAACCTGAGCCCTATTTGTACAGTCTGTGACATTTTTCAGGGCCTTTGCCTATTTGCACAGCTTGTCTGAACTTCCTGGATAGAAATTCTTGTCTGCTTGCAGGCTCTACAAAGAGTTTCTTCACTGCCATGTGTCACTGTGTCTGGGAGCACCCCTGTCTTTCGACAGAGCACATCCCTGTTGGCAGAGCCCATGCCTGTCCGCACAGTCTACTCCTAATTCCATGTGTACTTGTTAACAGAACCTGTCCCTATTCATGGAGCCTTTATCTCTCTCTAGAACTCATCCTTTTCTAAAGCCTGTCCCTGTTTGCAGAACCCGGGCTCTCTACCGAACCCAGCCCCATTTTAAGATCTTGCCCATGTCTGGGGCATCTGTGCTGGAACATGGAGCTGATTTCCTGGCCGGCTCCTTTCAGCACATCCTGCCCTCTCTGAAGACACTGTCACTGTTAACAGAGGCTGTCTGTCTGCAGAGCCTGTGTGGGCTTACAAAACCTATCCCAATCTGCCAAGTCTCTGTCTATACAGGCTTTGTCTGCAGAGCCTGTGTCTTTTTGCAGAGCCTGGATTGCTCTGCAGAGCTCACGATTGCTTGCCCAGGCTGTTCCGATCTCCTTGTTTGCAGGATTTGAGGCTGTTTCCCAAGGCTGTCCCTGCATGCAGAGCCCGACCATGCCTAGAGAGCTTTTGCCTGTTTCAGAGCCTGCCTCTGTCTGGCAAGCACTTCTCTGACTGGTGATGCTGTGTCTCTTTGCAGAGCCTTGCCTATCTATGTGCCTGTTCATATCTGCAGAGCCTGTCTCTTCTGCAAAGAGTCCCTGTCTTAAGGGTTTGTCCCCATCCACGTTTGCAAAGCCTTTCCCAATTCTGCAAAACTCCTCCACACCTGCAGAACCCGGGACTGTCTGTAGAGCCTTTCTCAGCGTTCATAACCTTTACCTGTTTGCCCAGCTTGTCTGAATTTCCCTGGGTCCAGTCTGTGTCTCTTCACGTAGGTCATCCTTACAAAGGTGGTCCCTGTCAACAGAACTCATCTTTGTCAGGAGAACCTGTGCCTGTTGCATCCCTTTCTTAGGTCTGAGGAAGCTGTCCCTTTTCTCTGTAGGTGCTGTGTCTCTTTGCATGGTTATCTCCTAACTGTCTGAAAGACCTACGCCTATTCGCCTTGTGTGCAGAGCCTGTCTTGTCTACAGGATTCTGTCTCACTTCAAGAGCCTGCCCCTGTTTGCAGAGTCTGTCCCTGCCTACAGCACCTGTTGTGACTAGCAGAGCCCTCGCCTGGCTGCAAGCCTATCGCTGTCTACAGTGACTGTCCCTGGCTGCGGATCCTGTGTCTGTATGCATAGCCTGTTTCAAACGCCCTGTCTGTTTGCAGAGGTTGTCCATAGACTCAAAGCCTATCATTGTCCACAGAGCTCAGCCCTGTTTCAAGTACACAAGCACAGATGACAAGGCACGTCCCTGTTTGCAAGGCCTCTGTGCCTACGTCTGCAGTACCCTGGTGTCCTGGTGTGCTGGCCCTTTTGTTTACGCAGCCCTCCTCATGAGAGGCACAGGCTATGATGAAGCGTCTTTGGAGAGCTGTGCATGGGGAGAGCTCTTGCTTAGAGCCCAGAGTACAGGCGGCCAGGGCCTGAGGACTCTGGCTACTGTTCCCTCCCTCACTCTTTC